GCAAACACACAGACGTGAAACCTCAAAGCCTGAGCTTTATCGGCCGCTGTCTGGTCTGATCCACAGCAAGGAGTGGGAATAGGTAGCTTCTGTGAGTCCCTTTCTGAGAAACCCAGGTTTGCTGGCAGGGAGCTGTTGGGGAATAAAGGATTGGGGCGCACTTGGATTTTCTGGGTGGCTTCTATAAACTGGGAGAGGCCTCACAGCCAGCAACATTATGCCATTCCCTACAGCGCCTCCTGCTGGGAGGGGCTGGGACTGCAGTAGCTCTCCCACAGCTAGTGCTCCCACACCTTTCCCTACAGTGCCTCCGGCTGGGAGAGGTTGGAATGGGGTAGCTGTGAGTTTCCCCCGCAACCAGCACTATTACATGTGTAGGAGAGAGAGCCTGGAGCTCTGAGCCTGGTGTAGGGTCTGAGGTCTTAACCATGGACCGCAAAGTTAGGCCGTGTCCTGAACCAAAGTCAGGCTATGCTGTGAACCAGTCAGGCCCTGTGTCAAAGGAGATGCTTACAAGTTGACTGTCTGGTACATGAACTTGGCAACAGTGCTGCTGTTGTTGTTAAAACACAGGCACTCCTAAGAAGTACTAGGCACTAGGTATTCCAGAAGAGTAGTACAAGAACACCCTGATGCAAAGTTATATGTAAACACATTCCCCGAAGATGGTAGAGGGACACACTGACCCCTCCTAAAGATAAGGTCGGGATAACAGGATAATGGATGGAGATGTTTTGTTTGAACCAACAGATACAAGGGGTAGGGTGGTAACTAACCATGTCAGAAGGGTATCAGTGTGTGAAAGAGGGTCACAAAAGGGGCATCTTTGTCCAGCCAAGAGGGCAGCGGAAAGACCTGCCGCTGACTGAGCTGAGTCCATTGTCACGGGCATACATGCATTAGGGTACGTGTAGAATCTATTGGGCACTGGTACCGCGCCTCAGCGACAAACCTAGCCAAGCGCCTTCTCCACTGAACCGGATCTGTGGTCTTTCTGGGTGGTACTATCAAGGTCTGCATCAATGTCCACTGCGGTGATGGACTGCAGCATAGAAACTGCTGGTCAGATAGGTGGAAAAGAGGCAACCTGCTCAGGGCCCAAATTCAGCGGGGTATCAAGCATCCCTCACCCCCACTGCAATACAGCGAGGCAGTTAGCGTGAGTCCCACAGCATGTATTGTTCCCACCGATATTGTCACAGATGATGACAGAAATATGGGGTTGGATTCTCAGCTGGTGTCGATGTGAATTCACTTCAATGGAACAATGCTGATTTACAGCAGCTGAGGATCTTGCGCCTGCCCTGCGCACACGTTCACACTGGAAACGAGTGGAAGGAAAGCACAGTTCAACTTCTGCCCCATCCTTGAGGTTTTTTAGGTTCGGTTGAAGAATGCTTCATAATAATTACACACCTGTAACACTGTGCCGCCTCAACATGGGGATCAGGAGAACTAATTAATAAATGTTTGTTGGTAAACGTCAGGGGTCAATGTTTTTAATGGGGGAAATTAGGAATGATAAGAAGTCAGAAGGAACTGAGTGAAAGTCAGTGCAGCTGTGCAGAGAAGCAGTTATCTTTGATGTCTGCTAACTCAGGACCTGTCCACACCCAGGTACTACAGCTACTTAATGAGAAAAGGGAAATAATTACAGTACCACTAGTGTCAGGAAAACAAGGATGTTCACAGAACCCCAACCCAATTCCCCTCTCACGCTGGTGTAAATCAGGAGTAACTCCACTGGAGGCAAGGGGGTTACACTGAATTCAGTGGAGGTGAATCAGCCACACGGGGTGCTGTTTTAAACACCTACGTGCAGATTTTCCCTGGCTAATGCAAGGAGCCCGTGCTGATACCAATGAGCCAATGCAACAGTGTCATGACAAGTCCACCTGCTTACCTCCCCTGGGCACAAACCAAGGAAAGACAATGGGGAAGGGAAACTGCTTCATGGCATGCTGCCACCTTAACCTAGATCCTACAGAAGCCTCTGTTCTAACAGTGCATGGATGGCTGGGGCTCCACGGCTTCAGTACTAGGCCAGGCCAGAGGTGAGAGAGGGCGGAGCCACAGAAAAGCCACTCTCTGCAGCATTTGCTTTCTGGCACCAGGCAGGTTTCCATGTGGAGACGCCCCCAGGGGTTGCTACTGGTGGAAGCAGTAGCTGGCCTTCCTTGCATTATACCTCTGGGAGTCAGTATCAGTGCCACGACATAGCCAAACAGCAAAGGAAGGACCTCTTGGAATGTAAAGAACATGGTGGCCCTGAAGAGGAATTGGCAGGAGCTCAGTGACCAAACCTTCCTCCAAACACGGGTAACACGACAGGTTACTCGTTGACTGATTTGAAATCCCAAAGTCATTTCTAACATGTACCGGTCCTGAGCTTTCACTGGCGTGTGGCATATATACATCAGTTCCATAAAAAATATTTTTTTCCCATTGGAGAGCCTGACAGATAAAAATTCTATTGTAAGGATAATAATAGCTCATGAGAATACAGTATAAGTGAATGCAGCTGCCGTATCATATACTTACAACAATAATAATCTGTATCTTCTTTCATGCAAACTTAGCAAAGTGTGACATACAAATCACTTCACTCACAGTTGAATTGCAGCCACCCCTGGGGTGAAACACAGCAGCTATTTAATGGTGCACACCAACACTACACAAGAGTGGTTAGGGCTGGAAATGAAGGACATATCCAATGGGGACTGCAGGGGGAATTTTGAGTAGCAAGTCGAAATGTATTTGTAGATGAAAGCTCTCGCAAGCCTGGCTCTGATGCAGCATCTGAACTTTCCATGAAGTTTCTGCTATTTACCCAGCTCCACAGCTGGGGTTGACCAAGGCACAAAGAGGCAAAGTCTTGCCCAAGTTTGCACAGTGAGTCAACAGCTCAGTAGGGGATTAGACCCTTGTCTAATTAGACCCTTGGCTCCTAGAACTTGGCTCTAACCACTAGACCATGTGGCTTAGTTTTGTTCCCGGTACTGCCTGCTGGAGTGTGGTTTGTAAAGAAAAAGCCTCAGTGTGACTAATAAAGAGAGGCATTTTATACAGCAATAAAATAAGCCTGCTTCATTCAAGCGTGTGCTGGTGGCTCCATGAATGTGAAGTCAGGGGCTGGTTCTATGGCTGTTTACTATGTTAGGCTAAATGGCAGATTCCCTCTGGGTTTGCACATGTTTGCTCCAGTGGGGCAAGCTGCATAGTCCTGTGTGGAACAGATGTAGGCCCTGTCCACATTAAGGCAAGTCACACCAGTGCAAAGCCCTAGTGTAAACACACTGCATGAGACCACAGCAGGGCTTACGCTAGTGCAGCTTACTCCAGTAACGTAGCTAGGGCCTTACTGGCTGTGTCTGTTCCCAGTAGCTATTATTCATAATAGAGTGTAGATGAGGCCCCACTCCTTTGGTGACACCTAGTGCTACACTGGCAACTTGTCAGGAGTCTGAGGCCAACATCGGATTTGTATATAAATGGACGTACATTTAAAAATCACATGCAATTGGGTCTAATCTTTGTCTGATCCTCTACCTCCCTTCATCCATCGCTAGACCATTCGTCTCTGTGTTCACCAGCAATAAAATAGCTGCTACCTACTAACTTTACCCTGAAGTTAGACAGGGAAGGCAGCTACACTTTCATGCTAAGGTCTATCCCTGGTTGGAGATACTCCCCCTTCCTGTAGCTCATCTTACCAGATGTTCATTACATAGATGCATTTGTTTTCTTTTTAAATCTTCTAAGGATCAATACAGCAAGATATGGCAGGCACAATACTAGATAATAAAACACAGCATTGAGAGCCATATAAGGAATTCCAGTAACTTAACATGCTCTCCCTGGAATCCGACGTGATCCTGATAGAACTGATTACTGAGAACAATAGGCCCTTAAAGTCAGTCCTGGATAGAAATGCAGAACTAAGCCCAGAAAGGATTATTGACAGAAACAAAGATGGGGGAGGGGGCGGGGCGGGGAACCAAATCCTAAATGAAAGGTAGCTTGTGTGTGGTGCAGGTGATCTCATGTCCCTCTCTTGACAGCAGGTGTTGGACAAGGCTGGCTGAATTTGTTGTGTGGGGTTAGTCTTCCCCCTCTCCCCCCATTTGCCAGTGGTCTGTGAACACATTGCAGCACTTCGATACTGTTGTTATTGCCCTGTGGCAGCATATAGGTGTCCCTAGTCATGGCTCAGGACCCCATTGTGCCCAGCGCTGGACAAACGCAGGGCAATATCCCCCCCCACATGCCTAAGCCTCTGGATTGTTTGTAGCGAGGATCCAGGGGGACAATGCAGTTGGAGCCTGGCGATTGGGTGCTGAGGGCACATGGAAAGTTTCCATTCCCTCACTGGGTGATGTAATCTTCACAAACTACCCAAATGCTTTTCAGTTCACCCTGCATGTACATTTCGTTTTTTCCACAGATGTGGGCTAGGGGCCTGAAATTCTCTGCCCGGGAAACCCTACGGGGGGAAGACACTACAGCGAAGGGTTGCAAGAAGCGAAGAAAACTGGAGGTGTGTGAAAATGCCCCAACCCAAAATGTGGAAGCTGGATCCCCCGCCCCGCCCCCTTTGTCCTTGTCTTTGCTGCTTGCCCAGCTGTAGCCGCGCTGGGGACAGGCCTGCGGATTGCAGGTCCCATGGACAGCGGCTCCATTTACTGAGGATTAAACCCCAACGCCCGATGGGGGGTGGCCGCTGGTTCTGTTGCACAGGTGCTGTCTTGTCTTTCCATGTCGGCAGCACGTGTCCGCCGGCCGGCCTGGAGCCCCCAGGTGCTACCCCAGGACAGCTCAGCCCCCTCCTCCCTAACAGCTCCCGGGAGAGGCGCTGGAAAGGGGAGGGGGCAGGTCTAGCGGCTGCCTGCGGCCAGGGAGCAGGCCAATGACTGGCGTCGGGTGCGGCCTGGGGGCGCTGGTGCCTGCGGAGAGCTGCCCGGGTTCCCAGGCTCCGCCAGCCCCGCTTGCTTTAGCCAAGCAGCGCCGCCCCCACCTGGCTGCGGGAAGGGCGGGGCGAGGTACACCTGCCCTGGCTCTAGGTGGGCTGCCGGAGCCTCTTCCCTTTCCCAGCCGGCGGTGTCCCCCCTCCGCGCGGGGGCCGGGTCCGCCCCGCCCCTCCCCTCCCGCGCTCCCGGCCCTCCCATTCCTCCCCGCCCCGCTGCCGCTTGCCGAGCGATTTGTCCCGCTGCAGGGCGGGGAAGCGGCTGCGTCGCTGTAACCCGGCGGAGAGCCTGGGATGCCGCTGCTGAGCCGCTCCCTGCACAGCCTGACTCCGGATCCGCCAGCCAGGTGAGCGGGGCCCTGCACGCCTGGGATCGCAGCCGCCGCCCCAGCCGTTCCGATCCGCGACCCCTCGGTGGCCTGGCTTGCAAACCCAAGGGGTGGGTGTGGGGGCCGTGCGGGGTGTGTGTCTGCCTCCGAGTATCCCCTCTCCTTGCAAAAATAACAAGGAGTCTAGTGGCTTTTGTAGATGCAGACTAACACGGCTACCCCCGATACTCCTCTCCTTGCAATGTCTGCTCGGTGCCCCCCCCCCATGTCCTAGGTGCAGCCGCGTCCAGGTAGCCTGCTTGTGATTTCGCCATCGGATTTACACCCCCCTTGCACGTTGCCTGTGCAAAATTCCCCATCTTTTCCCCTCCGAGAGGCCGCTGGAGAGGGGTGTGTTCCTTTCTTCCCCCTCCAGCCTGCCGCTCGCTATTGCACGCTAAATCTCGGTTTTGAGGGGCGTCCATTTCTGGGGGCACAGATCCGGCGCGTTCCCTCCTGATCTCCTGGTTTGAAGGCTCAGGTCCCCTCAGACTTCCTGCCTTTCCCCACCCCCGAAATGGTGACTGACATATTTCTCAGAGCTACCGTTTCCCTCCCCCAGATCGCGGGGAATTCTCTAACCGGGAGCGGATCCGCTCAGGTCTGGGCTTGGAGGTGGCGGGCAAGTCACTTGGGAGAGAACAAAATGAAGGGGAGACGCAGTTTGTTCTGGTAGCCGCTGAGCCTCTCATATGCGCACACACACACTCACATTTTGCTCTGTGTCAGAGCGGAGATCAAACTGCAGGCTGGTGTGTGTGCATGTTTGGCGCTGTCCTAGGAGGGAGGAGCTGGAGAGAACCTACACTGGGGAAGGAACAAGCATCAGGGATAATCCCATCTGGGGTGGGCTAAACCACAGTCCATAGAAGACTTGTTGGTGCTGAAAGTTTCTGGGCATGGCCAGCTCAAACCTACCTGATTTGGTTTCCTTAGTGACACACCCAGTGGAGCAGGGAGGAAAGGGGAGCGGTGAGCCAGCCAGGAAGGCAGAGAGACCTTTCATGGGGAGTGGCTTTTTTTGGGTATATACTAAGCAGGTGATCTGTCAGGGCCCCTCCCCTCTGCCAAGGTCAGATGACTTTGACCTCTCTTCCCCTTCAGAGAGCTGGAAGGCACTGAAATACTAGCAGATCTGCCAGTCTTGAGCAAGACTGGGCCATCACGCCCAGATCTCTGCTCCTCCAGTGGCTGTGATATGAATATTCTCTCTGCCACCACCTGTAGTTTTTTTAGATGCCTCTGAATTGGTTTCCTGTAATGTGCACAAAGAGCTTTAAACACTGTTTATTTTCCCACTGCTTTGTACAGGGGTGGGAGTATGTACACATATCGGGGGATAGCAAGACATGATCTCCCCTCCCCCAGTGCATTTGCAATTGAAACACTGGGGGTTTGATCTTGCAGCAATGAAACAGTTGGGTATGTTTTGCCTTCTTAGATGGGGGCAGATTTGGGCCTCAAGGGTCTGATCTCTCTAAGGCTTTGTTATGATCACAGTTATTGATTTGTAAGAAGAGTTCCCTAGGCACCCGCACCAATTCTTCTACACTAAACTCTGGAGAAGCCAGTGCTCTTTTTGATGTGGATGTCCACAACAGTTAAGGCTACTTTTTCCAGTCTCTGGCAGCTGAGGGGTTAAATAAATCCCCCAGCCAAACAATAAACTGCAAATGGGGGTGAAAAATGTGTATGATTCTGGAGCCCCACTGAAAAGTACAAGCCAGGGTGCCTAAGGAATTTAGGATCAGACTCAGATTAGGGAATTCTAGGGGGGAAATCTGACCACAGGAATTCCTCTGAAATTGGAGCTGCTGTTTTGCCCTTAATAATGTTTGATTGCAGGAGTGTTGATGTCAGGAGGATAATACACATTAGAGGAGAGTATGCAGGGATCCAGGAACAACTTGGAATGGGTCCCTGCATATTTCCACGGTTATTTTTGGAATATCGTCAGATGGCAAGAGGTAGGCTCTGGAGGTGTAATAAAGCTTCACACTTTCTTAATTGTCTGATTATATGGGAGATTGGGCAAAGGTATGGGACCTTGCGAGTCCCCTTCCTTTACCATTGGTGCATTTACAAGATGGATTATTTCCACCACGGCATTGCTCCCCTCTTGCGTTTCTAATGCTTCCCTCAATATTTGAAATTATGGGCTTTTTCCTGAGCAAAGAACAGATTGAGTGTGCCCTTTAATTAATACAATATATCATGGAAGTTAGAGATGGAAAAGCTTTATTAGATCATCTAGTGGTTGGTGGGAGCTAGCTCCTTATGGTCCATTCTCTGGACCTTTTACCAGTCTAGTTTCAAACCTCCCCAGAGGAGCGGCTTTCCCCACTTCCTTGGAGAGATTGTTCCATGCTCTAATCAATCTTGCCGTCAAGATGCTTTTCCCTGATCTTCAGCATAAATATTCCTTTTCCTCAATTTTCTCACATTAGATTTGCTTGATGTTTTTTCAGCTTCAAAGCTATAAAGAGCTAGAGATGTGTTAAGTATATTACACCTCTACCCTGATATAACGCTGTCCTCAGGAGCCAAAAAATCTTACTGTGTTCTAGATGAAACCACATTATATGGAACTTGCTTAAAGCCGCTGGAGCATGCAGGCCCTCTCCCCCCCGGAGTGCTGCTTTACCACGTTATATCCGAATTTGTGTTATATCGGGATAGAGATGTATTAGTCTGAGTTATGCCCCATTGGGCTGCCCTAAATGATTGCTCTTTCTCTCTGGTGGCTTTACCCTTCTCAGCTATCTAAGGGAGCTCTAGTCCAGAGTGGCCCCCGGGTTACGCATGTGTTAATATCCATATCCACGGTTTTGTGTGTGTGTGTGCACGTGTGTATGTATATGTGTGTGTGTGTGTGTATATATATACACACACAAATGATGCTTCTATGCCGGATTGAACACGTAAACCTATTTCTTTGTGTTTTGCCTCACTGCAACCCACTGGAGAGCTCTGTACCTGTCAGATCCCATTCCCTCTCGCTGCCTGGGCTGTATGCGTGCTGTAGAGTGACTGTGCATGCAGGGAGTTGTTTTAGTCACTCGCTGTGGTGTTTCTTTGTCTTTTTCAAACTAGATAAGGTTGATCAATGTGTGCTGAGGAGAGACGGGGCAGGCTTATGGGAAAGAGCTAGCTCTAGGGAACTTTCTCTGAATAGGAAGGCCTTGATCTCATGTGGTCACTGGACTGGAGCCTGTTTGTTTACATAGGTAACTTCCTGGTGCTAGTGCCCATGCTCTCAAATGAGACCAATGCTTTGTAGACTCTGTCCGATGCCGACTTTGGTCCCCGGCAGCAAGAACAGGGACTGCTGCAGGCTCTCAGTGCCAGCTCTTGATTGTAATGTCAGGTGCCAAATTCGCTGTTGACATTCCTACGCCCAAAGCTACCCTTCCCTCTCCCCTCCTTACACGCGCGCGCGCACACACACACGCACGCACTTGCAGAAGATCTCTCCTCTCTCTCACACACACACACACACACACACACACACACACACACACACACACACACACACAACTTGCAGAAGCTCTCATGCATGCCCTGGCTCTCATGCTAGCCCCCATCGGAATGCAAGCTGTGTGTAGCATTACAAATGCCACCTCCCCTATGTCCCCCCAGCGAGGCCTCTTATCTTTGCACCTAGCACAGGCCTCCCCTGTGTGCCTTGCCACTGGAGCAGTTGCTGGTAGTGGGGGCATTTGTCTTTCTGTTTACAACCAGTGTGTTGTGTTTAGTGCTTTAACAGCAACTTCAGGTGGTAATGGAAGCACGGAATCAGCCATTACCATAAATAGCAAAGCAGCGCTCCTACTCCTTGGGAGTGTGGCAGGAGCACATCTGTCTTGGGGGAAGCTGTGGTTTGACACTGTGGCTCAAGAGGCTGGTGGATTGTGCTGCTTGTCTGTGAATCTGCCATCCATTGGCAGTCGTGGCTGAGGTATGATCCTCCCTGTGAGTGCCATTCTTGATTGCGTGGTGACATTGCAGATCCACTCTGCTGGCCTTCAGGCCAGGGAGAGGAAAATCTCTCTTCTGAACCTCTCAAATTTCTCTCTGATTGAGATAATAGCCGTAATATCCCGGGGTGAGCGGAGTAGCAATAACAAACATTTTCTACTCCTCTGTGGATTAAAATAATACTACACTAGTATTTAGGGTGACCAGATAGCAAGTGTGAAAAATCGAGACGGGGATGGGGGGGTAATAGGTGCCTATATAAGAAAAGGCCCCAAATATTGGGACTGTCCCTATAAAATCAGGACATCTGGTCACCCTACTATTATTCCCAAGCGCTGTGACTTGCATTAGCGTTGCTGCAGTGTGCTGGCCGATTAGGAGGTTTTCAAATGCACCCAGGGTACTGGGACACTGAACTCCCATTTGTGCCTTGGGAAATCTCCTCCTCAAGCTAGAATATGAATTGTTAGGACATTAGTAAGGATGGCTTTGAGGGTAAGGTATTGGACGAGAGCTGGGTTCAGTTCCAAGTTCCCCCACAGGCTCCCTGGAAGGTGGTGTCTCTGTTTCTCCATCTGTACAGTGGTAATATCTCATTGCTTGTGAGGGTCTCGGATGCTACAGTGATTGGGGTGTGGGGAGTGGGCAGAGCTTAGATGGAAATGCTGTCACTTGTAATATGGCTTTTGGTTTCATAGCAAATCCAAGATGGGAATTGAGCTGGCCTATCTCTCTATATTAGGTTTTATACAGTGCCTGTCACTTTACAATCTAAGCCCTTTCCCCAGTCAAGGAGACATGGGTCAGAGAAGATTCCTCAACCCCATCGTATGGGAAGCCTCCCCATGCTCATCTATGCAAACACACACATACACAGTTATCAATATGCTACTCTAATACAACGTCTAAAAATGCGCTCGCCCAGAGAATGTGACAGCTTCAGCTGAGTGGCCTATTGTTCTCGTTGGAGCAGTCAGATGTCTCTGAGTCAGCGGGTTTTC